TTTTACCATATTGTATTAAAGTAAAAACAAATTAAGGACTTGTCTGTCATAAATTTTATATATATATATATATATATATATATGCAGCATTTTATATTTCTAATAAATAAATAATTATTATATTCCATTGGCATTTTTATTTTTTATATTTTTATATTTTATTTAACGTTTTACTATATATATATATATATATATATATATACATATATATATATGCAATACTTAACTATTAATTGTGTTTTTTAATACAAATGTTTTTGCATAAATAAGGAACCGTATTTTTCAAAATTAAAATACATGAAATCTTGATTTTTTTCTGATAAATATATTACTATAAATAATAAAAATATTGATTTGGCTTTTATAGTTATAAGAATATCCCAAGACATAAAAACATAAATAATATTTAATTATATAATGAATTTAATTCATCTTCTGATATAAAGAGATGAAAAAGTACTTTCGTACATTGTGTAGATAAGTGATAATATCATAGCTCAATAGCAACTTTTGTACCCAAATAACTTCATAACTAAGTTTATTCTTTCAAGTTATGAAAAATGTCTCTTTTTCATTTGACTTTCAATTGGCAACATTGCTTAAAAGGTGAACAACATTTATGTCCATGTTATGCAACCTACAAGCTTTATGCATTCATTATTTTTTTGCATGAGAAACTTAAGTAAGCCAAAAACAAAAATAAAAATATCTTCAAGCTTTTGTAACCATAATTGCTGTGTCTAACAACAACTAAATTACCAAAATTATTCATCCTAAGTAACACAATCTTTAGACAGCATTATCATTCAATACAGTCCATTTTTTAAAAAAAATTACATATTTTAATTCCTTATTAAATCATTAATATCTTGTTTTAAGTAGAACCATCATTCATGCACTAACATTTCAGTCCTACAAGTAAAAGTGCACTTATATTACAATAAGTAATACCAAATATAAACCAACACACGAAATGCAAGAAGTTTTTAAATTTTCTTCTTCTTCTTCTCTGCATCACCACATTATGAAATACCATGCAATCCAAGTAGCTTCATCAATACAAAAGAAAGAGAGGTTCTTATCTTCTCCACACCCCTCGCCATGCACATAAAAATAACCCTATCCAATTGCTAGAGTGAAATATATATATATATATATATATATATATACATATTAAAAAAGTATTTAAAAAGTAAAAAAATGGACCACAAAAAAACAAGGAGATAAACAAAAAGTAGTCTCTTGTGCCATGCAGAGAACACCCACCCCTGTACAGGCACTTTAATGAACACCAGGGAGACCTGGGAGCCATCGCTGACATAGCACGGCTGCACAGGTCAACACTCCAACTCAGCTTGTTTCCACGCTGGCAAGCGGTGACTTGGCACATATGGACAAGTGGGGCCCTGTGGAGAGACATGCTTGACTTTTGGTTTAGGCCTGGGTTGCTCTGGGGCAGCCTCGGCACTGGACCACCACCCCCGAAGCACCAGAAATTTCCCATGTGGGCGTGGTTCGGCTATCCGAGCCTGGGGTCTGGGTAAGGGGGGGGGGGGTGGGGACAAAGGAGGTGTGAGGCCCCTTAATGGGGGTTGTGCATAAAGACCCCACACGTTTATTAGACTTGTGACACCACCATTTCCCCTACTATTGAATACTCATTTGGGTGGATATTCTTTAATTCCATTCATGTTTTGATTTGGTGGGCTTCGTTGAGTTGCCTCATCCTCAAGGAAAAACCAATATCCTCTCATCAAAAGTTACAAGGTGTATACAATATATATATATATATATATATATATATTTGTTGAGTCTAATGTGAGATGTTGATGGTTTTGGATGATCCAATGGGAAAATGAACATAATGTTGAGTTGTTATGTTTATTGGGGTTTTGTTTTTGTTTTGTTTTGTTTTTTTGTTTTTTTTAATCCAATTTGATTGCTCTGTTTTATTCACTTGTTACTGATCATTTGTTTGTGTGTGAGATGCTTTCTGTACATCATGGTATATAGAAAAAGCACTTATTGTCTATGTAGTGTTTAATATATTGATTGTGATTGGTATTGTATTGTTGCATTTAGACATGATATGTATTATTTATTTGTTCAATTCTCTCATGAAACACAAATGATGGTTATGGGAGATCTATAAGCATGGAAAATAATAGCATTTGCATTTTGGTTTGAATGGCCTAGGATATGTTTTTGTTCATCAATATTTGTACACATAATAGGCTCAATACTTCTACATTATCTTGGGTTACAACATTTGGATGTTTTTCATGATCATAACTGAAACCAATGCCCATTGAATCTAGGTTATGAAAAGGAAATCAAGAGTAGTTTTTATAGAGCCAAAAACAAAAGCTACTTTGATGCATGTCATGCATATCTGCAAATACAAATTGCTGAAGAAAGACATGCATTCCAATCAACATCTAAGGAATTGATTTTTGTGCTTATTTATTAGCTCCATTGTATTTGCAGCACGAAACCTTTCGTGAAGGCAAGCATGTGTTCAATAAAGTTAAGTATTTTTCAATAAAAGTTTCCTACTTGCCTACTTTAAAAAAAATGCAATTAATAACTTATTTATTTTCATGCTGAGTAGATTCAAGATTGCTTACTTCTAAATTCATGCTATGGTTCAAAATTTTAGAGTCCATGATGATTCTAGAAAAAGACATAAAATAAACCATTAGAGATGGTCAGTTTTTCAAAACTCAAATTATTTATGTTTATAATACCAAACTGAATAATGATGAAACTGAGAATGCAAATTCTCTATAACAGAGTTTCTTTTTGATTTGGTCAAGAAACAAAACAACTACTTGATGTGGAACTGTGAAAGACTTCCAACTGAAATTCATTCTCACCTTTTTGAAGTCAATTTTCTATTCTGTATTGTTAAAACCATGAAATATATGCTATTCTTTCAAAACACCAACTCCCACAGTGTTGAATGACCCACCTATCCTAACTTGCACCCCAAAAAGTAACACATACACACACACAAAATGAAAACAAATAAACTTTTCTTATACAAAAAACTCACAGTTGTTGTCAATGTATCAACACTAAACAAGTTTGATCATGTGTGTTGTGTAGCCAAACAGTAACTTTTCAAAAAAAAAGAAGAAGTATGTGTTCATGATTAAACAAAGGAAGCAAGGCAAGGAAAGGAAGTAAATTACAAAAATGGTAGGTACAGAAATATCAACCAGCAAAGGTAGTAAATTTGTGCTTATTCTATTATTATTATCATTTTATAAAGTTGATTTGTTTGGAGTTTAGTTGTTCCTTGACATGCAAATGTGTACACATGCAATCAGGGTGAGGGGGTCCATTAATAAGGATCATTCCTATCCCCTGTCCCTCAGGTATGGTGAAGAGGGATGCCATGCCTTTCCTCCTCATCCCTGATTGTCAATCCAGCCTTGGTCCCACCCCCCACCTTCTTATGCTCTCTGTGTACATTACTACCATATTACACAGGTGGGGGGATTTATATAATTTTACTCTACTCCCCTCTCGGCACCCCCACACAATAGTGCTGCTGCTGCTGCTGCTGCTGCTGCTTCCTCCATGACAACCATTAAACGACACCCCCCTCCCCTCCAGGACAAACAAAGGAACTACCAAACAAAAACAAAAACAAAAAAAAGAAAAGAAAGAAGTAATTACACAGTTTTATACACCAAAAAGGAAATCAGGAAGGAGAGAAAAAGGGAAGAAGAGTAAAATCGAAGCCGTGCGCTACAGGGCAAGAGAGAGAGAGGAGGGGACAATCCCAGGGAGACATTAAATGGGGCGAGAAAGAGAGAGAGCATGAGCATGATTAAAAGACAGACAGACAGACAGACATTTGCCTTCATCCTCCCCCTTTTCACTCTCCCTCAAACTCTGCTGCGGACTGATAGACTCAGCAGCAACAACAACAGTAGAGAAGAAGAAGACGACCACCACCACGCCGCCGCCGCCGACGACGACGACAACGCACAGGAGGAGGAGGAGAAGAAGAAGAAGCAGAAGAATCCATTAGAAACAAACAGGAATTGGAATTGGAATTGGAGGGAATAGGAGGCATTGGGATTGGAGGAGGAGGGGGAATAGGAGTAGTAGGAGGAGGAGGAGGAAGAAGCAGTAGCAGCAGCAGCAGCAGTAGAGTTAATTGGAAGAGGAAAGCGATGTGGAGGAAGCCAGGAGCCTGACTCACAATGCCAATTCTGCTAGTAAAAACGGCGTGAGCGGGGGCCCAGTGGGTGGCGTAGAGGGAGAGAGAGTCTAAATGTGGCACTGGTAGGCTTGGCAGAGGAGGAGAGGCAGAGCTTGCGAAGAAGGCGCTCATAGTTCGGATCCATCCAGTGTGGCAGTATGAGAGTAGTAGTAATAGTAGTGTATGGGGAGAGTATGTAGGAGAGAGAGAGAGTGGAAGTGACCCTTTGTTCCTTCTTCCTCCTTCGTTCTCGCCTTCTGCCCTTTGTCTATAAACGACGAGGACTTTGGACAGTTTTCGTCGGTCGGAAGGAGGGAGGGAGCCACCAAAATACCCTTTTGCTGGCTCTCGCTGGGTCCCTTGCTCAGGATGTCAATTGAACTCACGACACCCCGTCGAAGTCTTCACTTGTGGGTGATCTGCCTGAGAAGTTGAGAAACTCCAGTCGTGCTGCCGCTTTTGTGCCACCAGGGGAAAGTCCAGAGGTCAATCCCACGAGTTTCTCTGTCTGTCTGCGAGTGCAAAGGGCAGGTCTGGTGAAGCTGCCTAGTTAAGCTTTAGTGTTGCACTCTGCTTGTTTCTTCTTTTGGCTTTGGATGGTGCGATCGGATTGCGGTGGGTTGTGTCGCTGTTTCAGCGTTGTTATTGTTGTAGTAGTTGTTGTTGGTATCAGGACCAGTACTAGGGTGCGTCAGATAGAGAATTGGAGGTTTTGTAGGGAGGATGTGTGTTTTTTAGGTTAAGTTCTTGCGAGAGAGGGAGGGAGGGACGTAAGGGAGGGACGTAAGGGAGGGACGTAAGGGAGGGACGTAAGGGAGAGCGTGGCAAAGAGTTGGAAGCAGTGGCTGGGAAGGGAGAGTGGATTGCATGGGCGATCCCGAAAGGTGGCCAGAGGCGAGTGGCCTTACACCCGAAGGAGCCCAGTCGTTCGACGCTGCCTTCGCCACGTTTCTTTCCAAAGGCGATGCATGGTGGGCGAAGGCGGAGCTTCGAGCAGCCGAGTTGATCACTTCTCTTCAACCCAATGAGGCGTCGGAGCAAAGGAGACAGGATGTTATTGACTATGTCCGAGGTCTTGTTAAGGGATGTATCTATGGGCAGGTCGGCCCCTCTCCCTTTTTGCTCACTGTGTGTGTGTGTGTGGGGGGGGGGGTGTTCACAAGCAATCGTGCATTGTGTGTAAATGAGAGTGTTTGCTTCCATTGATGATAAAGCCAAACTATTCTGATTACGTTTTCGTCTAATCGTTCCAGTTGCAAAATTCCTCGTATTGACAATTGCCCAGTCTTCAACTTTATTTTTTGGGCTCAATGATGATTTTTTTGGGATTTTCCTCTTCTAGGTAGTCAACAACAATCGCAGTTATACATTTGGGTTTGGCCTGTCGTCTGGTCTGATTAGAAGAAAGCTGACTCAGAAATTCCTACAGCCGATTCGATCTGGCGATCGGTGACGTTTAGGACGTTGCTTATTATTGCAAGTTCCTAGTTCCGGACGAAAGTGAATAATTCCTGCTAAGGTTTGGGAACTAGTAATGTCTCTGTCGCAGAAAATTTGGGGAACTTAAGTTGTTATTGAGTATAAGGTCTAATTGACTTTCATGGTCGCTTTTCTGATCAATTCTTCTCATTTCTTAGTGACTGATCAAACATTCCTCCCCAGTGCTTACACAGTGAAGCTTTATGTCTAAAGCATTTTTATCGGCATAAAGGGCTCGCGCATCATGCACTTGGGCTGCTACATAGAATTCTTCACCCCAATTTCACTGTCAGTCATTTCATATTTAACCCGATGAGTGATATACATGAAGGGGTAGTTCTCAAGGTTGGTGTGGATCCTTGTGCGTACAATGTTTAATTTCACAGAATTCTCGTCTTCAGGTTCATGTGCTATCCACGTTTGGTTCCGTTCCATTGAAGACGTACCTACCAGATGGCGACATAGATCTATCAGCCTTTACTCCTAGTCCTGATGTAAAACGGACATGGATCCAAGATACATACAATGCTCTGCAGAAGGCGAAGGATAATCCGAACTCGGAGTTTCGAGTAAAGGAAGTGCAGCTCATTCATGCTGAGGTGCCTCACTATCCCAGTGCTTAATAAGTCACGGAGGGCGTTGCCGGTTTCAGTGATTTTTTTTCAACGGTGGCGTTAGTGCGTAAACCACCGTCTGCTCGCTAACGGTCAACATGTTTTTGAAAGTGTGAATATGTGTTCTCTCTCCCCATAGCTCGTGCCTGTAGGTGACATACTCAATCCTCAATTTTAACTCGAGTATGGTGACTGAATCCAACCCTCCTAGGTATGTAAATCAAATGCTCTGTCCTTGTATCAGGTCAAAATCGTGAAGTGTTTTGTGGAGAATATTTTGGTGGACGTTTCCTTCGATCAACTGGGTGGACTAGGCACCCTCTGTTTTCTCGTGGAGGTGCGTCTGTATCTCCGATTTATGTAAGCTTTACATGTCAAGGAATATTTGTAGCTGACTTGCTCTGTGAAGGTTTATTGAAAGGCCACTTGCATCACTGTTTTCTGTTGCAAGTGAGATTGAAGGCTGACGAATTCAAGACTTGATGTAGGTCGACAAATTAATTGGTGAAGATCATCTATTCAAACGCAGCATTATACTCGTTAAAGCGTGGTGCTACTATGAGAGCCGCATATTGGGTGCCCACTGCGGCCTCATGTCCACTTATGCCGTGGAGGCATTGGTTCTTTACATATTCGACAAATTCCATGCCTCATTGCGAGGGCCGTTACAGGTGAGTTCCGGCATGTAACTATTTTCATTTAGCTTAGGAATCAGTGCGTAGATAACTAAGGAGAAGGCTTTGAGTGGGTGAATAGCTTGTCTGATCAATCAGGTGGGATTGATGGTTTTAGGTGCTCTATCTGTTCCTGGAGTTCTTCAGCAGCTTCGATTGGGACAACTATTGTGTCAGCCTATCAAGTCCCATCCCCTTGAAGTCTCTTTCCAAGGACTCTGAGAAACTTGAGGACTTGCAGAAGCTCGGTGAGTTGGTTAGACCCTAAGAATCACTACTGCTTCAAATGTAAGTGCTAGACGGATGAAAGGAAAGCAGCGGGACGCTGATGGAAGGTCTGTTGGCTGTGAAGATGACGTCGCTTGCAACAAACGATGAAAGTCCTTACAACACTCATCGACGTCCTGTGTTATGTAGCACTCGACGTGCTTGTATGCATTTGTGTTCAGCTTGTTTGATTTCTATTACGTTGGTTTGAATGCAGCAGCAAGCCTTTACTATGTTCATGTCACAAAGTTTCCCATAAAGCAGGGATGGATTTCTTGCAGCCTTGTCAACTCGGAGGGATGGAGGAGAGCTTTTCTTCACTAAGGAGTTTCTTGTTGCCTGCGAAACTGAGTATGGCGTAGTGCCAGTTAGCCAAATCACAAAGTCCAACAAGTTTACGGTCAAGTGCTTGAACATAAGCGACCCTTTGCGCAGTTCAAACAATCTTGGTCGGAGCGTGAATCAAGGTTATAATGTTTTATACATGAAGGCAGACTTTTCACATTAATTTTCATTATCATGAAGAGTTTTGCAAATCTACGACTTTTATCTATTTAATTATGAATTTTTATTCATAAAATTTCCAAAATTGAATTGATATTTGCTTTGAAAAAGTAGTAGATAGGTTGAACTGAAGTTCAATTGGTTTCCTTCTAATCTGAGAATAGGTCTGCAAGAGTTGTCTATTGCTTCTGCTGGTTATTCGTATCAATGGGTTTAATACCAAACTTGGAGATTTGATTCCAGAAGTTTCGTTTTGACTCAGGTAACTTTGCCAGAATTCGAAGAGCGTTTGATTTTGGAGCTCGAACACTCCGTAGAGTACTGAGTTGTACGGAAGAGGACGTTCCTGCGGAGCTTGAACAATTTTTCAAAAACTGTAATTTGAGACTCCATGGGGGTTATCAGCGCCCTGACGTCGCCAGTCCTCGGCCATGTCGGACGAAGGCGTCCAATGCTGCTCAAAAAATTGGATGTGCCAAACGAGAGGCGATGGGAAATGAAAGAAGTGACTTGACTTCACATTCTACTCCTTTTCAAAATGGCAATCAGTTTCTGCGGACGGAACCAAATCATGCTCTTCCTGTTGAGCAGATACACTTCGACTCTAATGCACTTCCAGGTGGAGAAAGCTCTCAGGAGATACTGTGCAACGATATGCAGTGCACAGGTGATTCTGTACAGTGGACACACCCTCGGTGTTCCTCCTTGAAAACAACTCCATGTAGAGAAAAGAATGGTTCTCAATTTGTTGGAACTCCGAAATCGGTTGCAGAAGAAGATTCAGCTTTAAGTTTAGAAGACAGAAACGGTTCTTTGCACTGCGCCGTTAGTGAAGATCCCATGGTCTCTGCGAGACGTGGTGAAGAGACCATGACTAAGAGGAATCCTGTTCAAGTTTCTTGTGGTGACAGCGTGAACAATAAGTTACCTGTTCCATCAGAGGCGTACGAGTTCGATAAACTTTTTTCAGGCTCAATGTGTGCTCAGGTTCTAAATAATGGCCCTGGTCAGGAATCAAGGAGAAGGCTGGAAAGACCAGATGTGTTAGTAGCCAATATCGAAGGTGCAGGCTTATCAAAACGCGGTACGATGATGAATGAAAATCATTGGAAAAACGGCACATCTTCAGCAACCTGCAACAGACCTGATTCCGAGGAGGATGAAGAGTGCTCATCTCAGAGCAGCTCCAAATATGAGGCGACTGCCTCTGAGGATTCCACTGTCATCGTTGTTTCTGGGTGTGCGTTGGAAAGCTCATCTGCTGCTGGAGAGGGGTTGCTGCCTCTTCCTTTCCAGCTAGGTAATGTCGTCGGAAACTCATGCCAAGTTTTGGTCAACTTATGTTGAGAATCATACCAATGCCAACTTGCCTCCTGGTTGCACTCTGGTGATAGTAAGAGAATGTTGATTTATTTCTTCTAACCTGTGCACAGTTGTGTCTACTAATACTCCGATTTTTTTATTTTTTTTTTTATTTTTATTTTTTTGTTTTGGATGGTTTATTTGTGATTTCTCACTAAGTCTCATCTGACCTAGTTCATGTATTCATCCTTGTAGGAAACGACGAGAGCACTTCAAGTTTTAAAAGGGACTCACCATCCGCGTTACAAGGTCGGCTACTTGACCTCAGTCTTGAGCCTCGTCATTTAACAGCAAATCTTACAACTGAGACTCAAATTCAAACTCCGTCTCATTCTGGAGTCGATCAGCCAGCCGGCTTAGGCAGTGAGGAGTGTGGCTGTTCTGTATCCGCGGAATCCCATAAGCCGACGGGGAATGGCTGTGAGTACTCGGGTGGTGCTGGTGGAGGTCTGATCAAAATGCCCAGGCGGAAGGGGCGATCTCAAAGGGAACATCAAACTGGTTTGCAGGGTAAAGATCTGGAAGGTTCTGGAGTCATTGGACATAGTAAACCGAGACGAGTTTCAGGGAAATCAAGAGGTGGATGGTCTGTTGATGATAGCAAAGAGAAGCTACACTCAAGAGCAGAAGCTTTTGCACAGGAAGGAGATGCAAGTATTGTTGGCAGTCCACGGCAATCTCCTGTCCCGTCTCTTGGGTATCCATATGTTCATTCTCCCCGTTACTCTTCGGCAGATGCAACAGGAGGATCACCTCACAAATCCTCCCGCTCTCGTTCTCATCTTAATGCCGCCGGGCCTGTCGTCCGTCAACCAGTGCCAAATTACCAGTTCGATCCCGGGACACCAAGAAATCCGTATTCATCATCCGGCACTGGTACCCCATGCCACCTACCCGTGCCTGATCGCGTATCCTCAAGTCAAAGCTCCCCTCCTCAGTTTGTAACACCGTTCTTTCCTGGTTTTGCGCCGCCGGTGATGTTGCCTCTAGGCTTTTCTAATTTTCCCATGTTCATTCCGGGTATGGACGTACCTAAGAGAAATTCATCTGCCAAAGGAGATGGAAACAATGGAAAGAACCGATCGGGCCACGAAATGAATGGATGTGTTGAAGCTCCAGTTGAAACATTTGGAGACGCTCCGAGCTTCAAGTCTCAATCAAAGGTGAATGAATCACAGGTGTGTTCTTGTTTGTTTGGATTTTCGGCTGGTTCAACTGCAATTTATGAAGAGAGTAGTAATTCCTTCTTTTCTGTGTCACAGATTGCAGTCGGAATTGTGGAGAGCCTAGTAGCAGTAGGAGTGCCGGCCAGCACCAGCTCCAGAAGAGCTGCCGCACGAAGCGTCGACGGTGCTGAGGCAATTGGTAGGACCACAGACATTCTGCAAAGTAATTTACAACAACATCTAGATTCATTAAACTTTGGGCGGTACTGTGACTATTCTTCCAGCCCTAACCTAAATCAGGTAGTTCATCCGATGTTTGCTTTGGACAAGCGTGCACGCGCACATAGACCTTGGGAAGGTCCTGGTAGACCCGACGCTGCTCTTCGCGCCCAATTCATGACGCAACAGTTTTATGCGTCTGGTTCTTGCGGGTACCCTTATTATCAACCATATCTACTGTATCAGTTGCCATTTTGGCCCCCTCGAGGTGTTGAGCTCTCGCCACGTCCTAGAGGAACAGGGACCTACTTACCGAATACTGTAAGTCTACTTTCCCCTAAGGCCGACATTGTGTCGCCCTTTTCCTTGCATACATTTGCAGTTACTTTCTGTTACTTTCCTTATTGTCCTTGCTGTTATGTTCTGACTCATCCTCGTCTGCTCCGTTTATAAACTTGCAGCAGCACATCAGGCAGAACATCAGGTCAAAAGGAAGGGGAGGGAGTCAGAACGGATCTCCACAGGTTGAAGAGAAGGGCCACCATCAATCACGCGACCATGAGGTCGCATATCCTTCACATGTGCCACATTCTAGGACACAGATGAACAAAGGCGAGACTCATGTCCAAGCGGTTTACGGCTCCACCAATATAGTGGTGGAGATTCAGAATGCGGATTCTGCAAAGGCTCGTGATCCCAACCAGCCAAAACATGACGAGGTTTTAGGAGCCCCCTCACTACATTCCCACGCCATTGAACCGTCGGTATCAACCATACCAGCAAATTTCTGCGATCCACCCTATCCTAAAGAGTTGTTCCTTCGTCCGGACTGCGACTTGGATGTTACTCTTGACGCAGAGAAATTGTGTGGTTCTCCTGGATCGCCCATCCCAGTTTATCCTGTCTTGAACGAAACTCCCACCTTGGATCCCGAGCTAGTCTCTGCAGACTTTCGGCACTGTAGAGAGGCGTTTCCCGAGGCTTGCAATAGAGGCGGTAGTCTTCTGAGACGAAGCGCCAGTATGGGGCGTGCTTATGATCAAACTAAACCTGATGACTCGGCTGTCATTTTAACTCTGCCAAGATCTGTTGGTGAGGTGCTACCGTCAACTACAACACAGAGGTGCTCATCCTCTACCTTGCATACAAGAGTTTGCTAGCTACATTGAGAGGGTTAAATCAATTGTCTAAACTTCAAGGGTCTTGTCTGCATTGTGTCAGGAACAGACTTCCAACATATCAAATGAAAGAAGAGGACTTCCCCCCTCTTAGGGTTCGAAGAAAGAACCGCATCGACACTGCAACTGGTGGCACCAACGGCATCGCCAATGGCATCCCCAGCAACTTAGGCAGATACGTCTCATTGTGAGTCCTTGTTGAGTTCAAAGGATGAGGAACTCATGATTTAAAGCATCGATCAGGGGCAGGAATTAGCCCATTCATAGTCAAATCAAATTTATTTGCTTTGTTTTTGCATCCAGCTTTCTGTAAAAAGTTCATTACCCTTGAATGCCTCTTCATCTGTTGTCAATCCATCAAACAAATCTTCATCGTCTTGCTGAAGGGAGTTTGATTTTATACAGGAAGTATTTAGATAGAGATACTGGAACATTAACCATCATGAATTGATGGGCGGATGTGCCAACAATCGTGTTGCTGTTGGATTATTTTCTTTCTAACACAGTTGTCATTATCTTGTCGTATTGCTTACACTCTTGTGGCTCTATTATGTTTTTGTGGAAACACAACTATAGAAACATGTTCAATGTTCAAGCACCTCAAATGTGCTTTCAAAAAGGAAGCTTGGATACCTTGCATCTAGATGCAGTCAATATTGATGCTCGGCATTCTCGTTGAAGTTTCGTTTTGTCAGAACACTCCCGAGTTCTAAAATGTTTACTGATCCACATCTGGGAAGACTGAAGAGCACATGATTTTTTAGTTATTTAACTTGTTATGATTATTATGATTATTATGACTATTATTTTCTAAATAAATTACTCTATTCTTAATTTTTGGAAATAGCTATTGAAACACAACATTTTGTTTTTTTATTTTACTAATTGATTAGTACATTTTTTTTCTGGTATATGTATTTTGTATTTATTTTATATGCTTTGGTTTATTCTAGAGGCTCTAGATAGGCTCTTAGTTTTATATAAGGATTACTATAGTAAGAATATCTAAGAAACAAGTGTAGAATTTTAAATATCTTGTTGAAATATAGAACATCATCCAAAACAATATTCACATATTCTCTTTGTTTTTTTTTTCTGATTAGGTATTAACATAGTGTACTACTACCTCTTTTAGATCACAAAAATATAGAAATTTATTGGTTCTTTAATCCCACATGCTCAAACTCATGTGTTGTACAGGATTAGAATCATAACAACTATAGATATATTATTAAAAATATTGCTTATTCTTTGATACATGTAAAAATCAAATAAAAATGAATATTTACCTTTGAAATAGTTTGCAACTAGCACAGATCCACATCATGTGCACTTCTTTTCTGTATAATCATTTTTTTAATCAAGATAAACAATTACTATCTTTGTGTTGGTGATTGGATGAGAACCTTTTCAAACATTAAAAGTCTTTTTCTATTCATGTAGTATATATCCTAGATTTGTATCTATCCTATAACAATAATATAGTTTTTATATAGGTTTCATTTTAAGTTGCCATTCTTTTTGTGAGCCTTTAGTTGTGGTAATTTTATTTAGAAAACCTTCTTACAATTTGCCCTCATTATTCTTAAGAAAATAACTTTTATACAATCCTCTTTCTTACTATATATATATATATATATATATATATTTGCCTCCAATAACAAACTTATAAAAGAATATCCATTGAAGGAAAAAAAAATGATATAAACATAATTCATTGATATTAAAGAATTGTATTAAACTAGAAAAAATAATATACCTCTCTTACATCAAATATTTATTACAACCTTCTTTTTTTAACAAAAGAAACAACTTTGTGCAAATTCTTGAAGTGTCTAATATTTGCTTAAGTTTAGAATTAGTCTAAAATATTAATTATTAAATTTGATCCAATAAATTATCAGTGAGGATCATAGAGTCTTATATATTTTAACTTTTAATTTTTGAGTTCTTTTTTCATAGATAAAGCTTTTTTTTAATAATCAAGTATTCTATATATATATATATATATATATATATATATTTGTCTTCATTACAAATGCTTGCTTTTGGTTCATGTGGATACAAAAGAACAAAATATTTTCTAAAAATATTGATTGGGATAAAAAGAAGCTATAAATACAATTCACATCATCTTCATTAAATATAAACACTTTATTGGTATAAACCTTAAAAGAAAATAAAAATTAATTCCAAATTTTTCTTTGATAAAATGTAGAATATAAAAAAACAAATGTAGTCTAGATGAAGACCAGAAATCCAATGAATAGCTACATTTCATGTACGTGCTTAAGGTCTAGAATTATAGTTTGAACCATAATCCAAAGAGGGTCGTTGTGCACAAGAACGAAGAAGATGAACTCTACAATTTTCAAAACTTGTGGTTGATTGCCTTTCACAGAGTTGAGCTCACAGTGTTAGCCCAAAGTTTGGTAGGTGAATCTCCAAATAGCTCAATAAACACAAAACAAGAATAGAAAAAACAGGATAAACAGAGAGAAAAAGGTAGAAAACAGCCCAAATTGGCTTACAAAGCACAAAATGAAATAGCGAGAGAGAGAGAGAGAGAGAGAGAGGAATGAATAAAATGTATGGAATGTATGGAATGGATGAATGCAATGCAATGCTGGTTGGTCATGGAGGAGTGCGGGACTGCGATGCTTCATGGCCGTGATTCATTGATTCCTTCATTTTCCGACGAAGGAACCTTTTTCTCAACCCAATTCCTTCTACTTCTTCTTGTTTGTTTGTTTGTTTGTTTGTCTGTTTGTGTGTGTGTGTGTGTGTTTGATGGAAGTGTCTCTGTCTGTCTGTTAGTCCGACTGACGGCCGAGTGATTCTCAAGTGTCGTCGTGACATAGCCACTTAAGGCTTTGACCTTTATCTGCGTGGCATCAACGCCCATCGCAGTCGCCCAGACCTGAGATTCCATCCAGCCCCCGGATTTGCACTTCCTACTTGGCTGCTCCAACTTGTGGGTCACCGTCGAATCGCTTGTTCGGCGATGCTGTATGCATGATTCTACCCTTAATTTGGTTCAGGTTCGCGGTATCCGACAATCAGTTGCGATGGTCTACGAACAATTCACCGTTGTTGACAATGTTGTTGACAATGTTGCCTTCATTTTGAGTTTGTTTTCTGAGAGTGGGTGGGGTGTGAGAGTTGTGGCTCTTCGCAAGGTTTCGTTCTCTTTAGGGGTACGAAGTAGTGTGTGATTTTAGGCTAAGTCTTTAGTCTGTGTGATGGTTTTTTTTTCGTCTCTCCGTGGGGGTCGTTTATGAGGGTTAACTGCGTCAGGAATTGCAGCTTGTGCGTCGATGTCAAGTTGCGCATAGTTCTCGGCATTTTGCGATAATTAGAAGCCTTTTCATGGTTCTTCATGCCCTTTCATGCTTTGAACCGGGTTTGAGTAGTTCTTTTGAATGGGGCATTGTTTGAGTTTGACTGATTATCTTGGTAACGAATTCGATTTTGGCGTTTCTATGTCTTGTCATTGTGATGAGAGCAATGTTGATAATTGAATCTCGTTATTGAAGGACATGGTGGTTTAGGTGCTCTCTATTTTCGCCTCAGTGTTGTACGAAACTTACGACGTCGTGCTTATTGCTCTGCACTTACGTCTACAGTGATTGCGCAGCTCATTTATTTCATATTTATGTTGAAGTGAGATTTCACCTGTGCAAGTCGGAATATGAGAACGAGTTCGGATGGGATGGTGAGTTATATATTCTTGAGCACGATGAATTGAGTTTTCATCAGTCACATTGTTGAGGTTTTGATTGTTCGACAGTAGTAAAACAAAGCGAGGGTCAATTGTGATGATCATTGAGGTCAATGAATTACTGTCTTAAGTAGAACTCTTAAACCTAGGGGTTTCAAAAGCATTTTCGTTTCCAATATGGAATTGGGTCGTTGTTTCCAACATGCGGAAGTCTCACACATGCTAATTTATTCTTCTCTGCACGGATATGCCAAAGTGAGTGGAATTTCCTCCTACGATCGTCTTATAAAGATTGGTACAGACTTCAACGAATTTAAATCACACGTCGCTGCTGTCGTCTCAGAGAAGAATTCGAATGCAAGTGCTTTATTCGTAGGTGTGCTTTTCTGAACTTTTGAGGTGCGTTGAAGCATTTTTTCCATTTACACAAACCTCATGCCTGTATTTTACGCTTGATCTTTTTGTCGTGAATGTGGTGTTGATATATGTCAGGTAGCATTTGGAAATGGACATAATGCGGATAGTGACAAACACAGGCACGAGTTCGCGAGCACGTATGAATTGGCCGATTACCGCCAGCTCTTGGTGGTACTGATCTCGCATGCCTATTCCGTAAAAGAGCATTTCGGCTATCAACTTTGGTTTATCTTTTGGTTATGAATCCAATTGCAAATCTGATCGAATCCACGTACTGATGATAGATTCTAAATTGATCGATCTTGACGAAGCAAAGATGGAGTTCAGGGAACGGCAACCTCTACTTCAGACGTCGTCACGAAGTGAGGAGGTAAAGTCTAGGCATATCACTTCGTACCCTTGCATCTCTACTTTCAAGAACATAAGAAAATAAAATTAAATGGAGCGATGGCAATGGATATTTTAATTAATCTGCACTCAATGATTTTGTGTAACTGGAGATGTATGTATACTAGGGTGTTGGCAATGCATCTCCTAACGATTATGTTTCTGTGGACAATTTCGTCAAGTGAGATCACTTAGCAGAGTTGATTTGGCGCTAAATCTGATAGCAAGTGAAATTGCACCTTAAATACAGAAGTTGCAGAGAAGCCGATCCTGGTGGAGCTCATTGACATTCTCGTGGGTAAATCCACTCTTGGAAACTGGAATTCAAAGGCAGCTTCAGCAAGAAGACTTGCTAACCGTACCTCCCGACCTAGCACCTAAATTATGTTGTGGCCAATTATGGAGGTGCTGGGATCAAGAACGCAAATGCCACAGCAATAACCCTTCGCTTCTTTGGGCTATTTTTAACGCCTACGGTCGAGTGTACCTGTTTCTTGGACTTCTTAAGGTGCTCAGTTCATGGTCCAATATATTAACGTTTTATTCAGTCGAATTAAATGGTTTGGCCTATTCGTACATAAATATTAACAATCAATCAGTCAGCGTGTAAAATCATTATGGCTAATAAAGCACACCTTTGTGTATGTTTATTCAACAATTGAACAATCCTGTGTTTCATCTAGTACTCTGACCTCAATCCTTTTTCACGAATAGGCGCATCTTTGTTGCAGTTTATCATCATCATATTGGAGTTTTCGGGACCCATCCTTTTGAACCAGATTCTTAAGTTCCTGCAATCAGGTAAGGATTATCCGCGCAGTGACATATTTTGAGCTTCTAGCTGAGGTGTGATAATTGAGCGACTTAGAGTCATCTGGTGCCACAGGCCCTGAAGTTGGAGCACGGTGGGGTTATATCTGTGCAATTGCGCTTGGATTAGTATCAGTTGTGAGGTATGTGCACATCAGAGCTATCTTTATAATTATATGAATCGATTCTCAAGCTGTAATGCTTTCTTTTCCATCCAGTACATTAGGTTTCAAATCGGGTGTGCAAATGTGACATTTGGGTCGGCGATTAAGTTGCTCCAAATCTGACTCTTGAAATAACATCAAGCATCTCGGCTTGTTCACCTGTGTAGAACTGTGCTGGGCACGCAGTACGAGTATCGTATGGCAAAGCTCAGATTGCAGCTCGAAGCGAGTCTTACTACTATGGTTTACTGCAAGGTAACATGGAATTTTGAATCTTGTTTTTGTACAGTCATATGCAGAATACTATTTCATGTCAAATCTACGTCTTCGGTAAATGGATCATGGAATTAGAGAAACAGTTGGACCTGGATGACACTCGTAGGGATGCTTTAGTAATCTCAAGATAAAATTCATGTTTACGGATACGAGAGTCCGTCCTTTGAAGAATGTTTGCTTTGACGGAAAACTTTCTGGTTACAAACTCGTGAGTCTAAACTAAGTTATTGTACTTTGGTTTCATGTGATTGGCTGGTTGGTTCTTTCGACGACAGGTTCTAGGTTTTCTGTAGATTATCTTTTCCTTAGATCAGTATCGAGTCCATATGTATAGAGTGTTGATCACTTGATGTTTGTACACTTAAATCTTGTTATCTACGTATGATGAGCAGTCGATGTGCGTAAGCTCATACCATCGAAGATCATTTTCAAGTGGAGAAATTCAGACTTACATGTCAGTAGATGCACACCGGGTGATTCAAGTATGTTCTAGTGCCCACGACCTTTGGAGGTACACAATTCTTCTTATCTTCAACTCCATACCGTATCACTCATAGTCCCTTTCTGCTATCTCTACTCTGCTAGATCGTCATGTTCTGTAAATTTTTTCAGGATTTTATGTTCTATATTTTTTCTGTTCGATATTGGTATTTCTATCAGCTTTAGTCACAACCTAATCTCCTTGAGTGGGTTTGGATGCTCTGGTGTATATATATCATCAGCGTACCATTGCAGATAGCTGTGGCCCTTGGAATGCTCTACATGCAAGTTAAGTTCGCTTTTTTGGCCGGTCTTGCAGTTATCATCCTCTTAATACCTGGTGAGAGATAGCTAAGCCATTGCACCAAGTTTGCTAACATGCTAGAATAATGAGATCATTCGTCATCGTGCCCAGCGGGTAGCGTGGCTTCCTTTTACAGTCTGCATAGTTATAACAATTACTGATTGTAGGTTACTCCAGCACTACTTGCCTACCCTCGCTTTGATGGGTACAGTGGTACTTATTGCTCTTGAAACATCTTTACTCTGTAAAATTCTGAATTCGATGAGAATGCGATTAACTGACCAGCTTTCATTTCTTTCACTACGTTTGATGGTTTAGGACAGAGTCGTATTATTGAGCTTCCTTTATTATCCTTTTAAGGCTATCTTTGAGGTCTAGCGGCTGCTATCTGAATCATGGTGAAATTTGCTGTGCTGTGCACAATTTTTATTAGTGAATCGCATCATCGCTTTGAAAATTGCGACATCAAGTGAGAAAATGATGAAGGAGAAAGATGAAAGGTATTACTTTTTAAACTTACCTTTAGCTTGTACTCCCCCCTTTCGCTGCTTTTCTCAGAACGGAGACTTTCGTGCAAATGTTCCCTTTTCAGTTGATCATGAATTTGGAGCACACGATCACGTACGCAGAATCCATCATCGTGTGTGTGTGTCTTTTATTTCTTTGTATATGTATGCATTCTCTCTCGTCGAATGCATGTTCAATGACTTAAATGTTAGAGAATTGATGTCTTTGTACTGATTCTACTTGTTCAAGAACATCTCCCATGTTTTAACGCCTTAATGTCCGACGCGTCGTAGAGACTTCTATGCCGAAAGCAACGAAGGTAACAGATTTCTGAGCTCGTTTTCGAATATGGGAATCTGGTTACCAAGACCTACCATCTTGGAGCGTTCAAGAACAGGCATCATGTATAATTGTGATAAGTACCATATGCTTTATCTCATGTAATATCAATATTCATAAACCCTTGATGTACTCCTTCCTGGCTGTGCAGGGTGAGGATGATGGGTGAACTTCTGCAGTACATTCGCACCATCAAGATGTATACTTGGGAGCACATTTTTGTGTCTCGAATCATGGAGACACGAACTCGGGAAATGAAACAGTTGGCTGTATGTGAAGCATTACGCATCTGTTCACAATAATAAAATTGTTTATGTATTCTTTGAATTTCTCTGAATTTTTTGATGTTCTGCTGAAAAGAGGTATTTTATTTATTTATTTGTATCTTTGTATTTATTCATTCTAACTTTATAAAATTTAACTATTGAATAATAGCTGTTATATAAGTGTTGATAGCTTGTGGAATGTGATCAGGTCAAAAAATATATGGATGCGTTTTGTGTCTACTTTTGGGAAGGAACGCCGGTGCTTTTCACCATCTTCACTTTTGGTCTTTTCGTGGTCACGGGACACACCCTAGATGCAGCAACGGTACTTTAGGAACCCTGAAATGCAACATGCTGAAAATCTGAGTGTCTTGTCGTTATCTGCCTCGAGATTCATTGTTTTCTTTGTGCTTCTTAGTAACTTTTTATTTAATGTATCCTTTAGCTCTTGCCCATCATTTTTTTTTTTTTTTTTTTTTTTTTTTTTGCGTGCGTGTGTGTTCATGGTGTTGTTGCATTACACTGAAAGACAAATGACCTTTGGCTGATAGTACTTGCGCATTCCCAGGCGTTCACAAGTCTTGCTCTCTTTGATATTCTGACGGCCCCTCTTAATATCTTTCCATGGGTGATCAACAGTATCATTGAGGTACCATCTTACTATTCACTGCTTATGATGTGTTGTTGTTGTTGTTGTTGTTTTTTGTCTAGTTTTTCAAGAAAATTTAAACTTTTAGTTCTTCGTTTTTGACTTTTTGGGAACCGTGTAAGCATTATATTCCTCGCTGTTTTTTTGAGCTTTATTTCTGGTCTTTAATGAATATTGGTCGGTTACATGCAGTAGGAGTCGAGTAATTGAGTGCGTAGTTGTCGGTCTAATGATGATGCCTAGTATATTGAATGTTTGCTGGCTATTTTTGACGCTTTCGAGCTGTCAGATTATTGTGAGTAGTGATGATGTTTTGGACTTCAGGATATTCTCAGGTGCATTCACTTAATCTTTCTAACACTGAGTCAACTTTCTCAATATTGATTCAATGCAGGCCCAAGTCTCTCTCAGACGTCTTTGTCGGTATTTATGTTGCCCTGATACTGATTGCAATTGGACGATTAGCATTTTTGAAACCATACATGAAGAGAATGTCACTGATTCCTCCTACGTGCCGAATGCAATTTCAAGTATTTTTAGTAGTCACGAAGGGAACATTCCGGAGGAAAACGCCCACGGACAAGCAGTTTTAGTTGAAGATGCAGCTTTTACGTGGTCTAACGAGGATGATGCGTTGATCACATTGACTGATTTGTCGCTAACCATACCACAAGGTTCTCTAGTTGTCATACTGGGAAAGGTGACCAACCTAGAGCCTCTTCTGCCTTCTTCCTCAATCTAACCAGCAATAGTTTCGCTGGGAGGCATTACCCTAAGATTCTGTTAATAGGAGCGATCTACTCTTTCTATGCCTACTTTGATCTGTCCCTGAATTCAGCTTTTTATAGTCTTGATGCAGGTCTCATCAAGCTGATAGGAAGTATGATTGAGCACAGTTTTGAACGTTGATTTTGATGGTTCACAGGTAGGAGCTGGTAAATCATCCTTATTGGAAGCTCTTTTGGGAGAAATGCGCTGCCTGAAGGGCCAAGCTCGCATGACTGGCTCTGTTGCTTATGTGGCCCAGGTTTGGCACTAATCGATGCTGCAAATTGAATTGCAAGTGTTTGAACGATTGCCGTCCATATTAATCAGCTTATTGAGGGTTACTTGTTACTCCACAATCTTCCGCACAATGAAACATTTTCAGAATTTTTGGTAGCAGTTAAAAGATATGCGTTGCTCTTATCTGTTGCAAGTTGCCACTGCTTCTCCATTGCTTCTCATGAAATAGCAGGAAACATTTTGCCCTATAAGTCATGACTGTCTCTACTGTTAAACGTTGTGAACATGCTTATTCATTCTCTATAAATGATGGACTTTGCATTGATGATTATTTGAGTGATACAGACACCATGGATCCAATCAGGAACGGTTCGTGACATTATCCTCTTTGGGTCTCGGTATGATGCTGAGAGGTGATCATCTGATTCTTCTTCATAACGATTTAATACTATCCAAGTTTCATCTCGCATCATTGTAATCTCTTGAAATGTATTCTGATATAATGATGGTGGTCTAGAACTTGCAACTTAGAGGATATGATTCGTAGGGGACACATTTACTTTTCTCATAGATTTCTTCCGATATCTATCGAAATCAATATTTATCAACGTGCGCATCCTATAATTTTACCTGTGAAGGCGTACACCTCATTTGGCTTGTTGATCCTCCAATTACTCAATGTCTCACAGAGCATATTATTGCGATTCTATCATTTATCCCTGAGAATCCTCCTAGACAGGAGATTATGATTGTCCTAAACCATCCAACTTGATCAGGTACAACCATGTTGTGATGGCATGCGCACTAGGGGAGGATATCCAGAACATGCAGGGGGGGGACATGGCTGAAATTGCTGAGCAGGGATCCAACCTCTCAGGCGGTCAGAAAGCTCGGCTCGCTCTCGCTCGGTACCATCCAACTATTTTTAAAGATCTGTGAAGTTTGTCTTGCAAAATGTATGTTAAGTATATAATCTGCTCTTGATTTGTGGGCAGAGCCTTATACCAGGATCGCGAAATCTATATCCTGGATGACCCCTTGAGTGCTGTGGACGCACATGTGGGAAATTGGCTGCTACATAATCCGATAGCTGGTCTGGCTAAGAAGGGGAAGACATGTATACTCTGTACGTATCATCCTGAGGTAGTTCACTTGGTACTTGTCCTTGCATCATGAAATCTCAGCCTTTTCTGAAGCGTGGTATTGGAACTTAAACAGGAACGGCAAATGTGGTTGTACCTCTCCGTTGTTGTGTGGCTAATGAGTGATTGCTCGATACTTTTGCAGGCAATTTCTGTCGCAGATCTGGTGATTCAACTGGAAAATGGTTGTTTGACTTATCATGGAAAAAGTTCTGGTCTGCAATCGTCATTATCAGGCAACGAATTATCAAACCAGAAGAGGACGGTACCCAAACTTCACTCTCCTCTAATCGAAATTCTTGAGGAAGCCCCAGTTACTGAAGGTAAATGATCTGCACTTTCATGTTCACCTATTCGTGATTTTTTTAATACAGTTGGACTACATCCAAAAACAGAATATCCGATTCATGTTTAATGTTTTATTTATGTAGCAATGTGTAGTTGGCAGCATGATTGATAAACAAGATTCTCCGAGGGGTTCTAGCTCTTTCCTATCCCCAGCAAATCCGATTCCTCTCAACCAGGTTGAAGATGTGAAGGGCGAAGTCATACTCGTTGATAACGAGCGGACACTGGATTTGGACGACGGTCATAATACCAGAAATATAGGTGATACAGAAACTTGTGACATTTCTGTGTCGTGCGTGATGCCGCCAGTGCCACTGATTGAGGAGGAAACTCGGAAAGCAGGGCATGTGCAGGCATCTGTCTATCGGTAAGTGACTTTTGTTTGCTGATACTGGGTGTTTTAAATAAAAAGAAAACTGACACAGTTTTTCTCGACCGCGTATGTTGGATGTTTTTGACACCAATTTTCGACAATACCGTAATTCGAGCTTAAATTGAAACTTGTTCTCCAATTTCAAACTTCAGTTCGTTATTGACTGGATTGATTGATTATGTTGCTGGAAAGATATAAGTTCTGGTGTAACGGATTTGTCATTGGTAGTGGATTGCAGTGCATATTGGGCTTTCACAGGTTGGTGGATAGTAGTCATCATATTAGTGAGTACTACTCTTATGCAAGGAACACAAAATGGTGGTGATTTATGGCTCTCTTATTGGGTCGATCACAGTAATGACGGTCTGCATTCCACGACCTTCTATCTTGTGAGGCTTAAACCGATTTTATTCTCAAATTCTAAATATGTGGGTTAATTATGAATCGTGTGTGAGCTGCTGTAAACCTCTGCAAGTACAAATAGAAGTTTTCTATACACATATACACATATACCACCAAGGAAATTAATTCATTCTTCGGTAAACCTTAATGACATTGGTGCGGTTCATTCTAACTTCCTATACTGACTGCCTCCTTTTTCTCCCTCTAACTTTGTTTCTGCTTTTCATGCGATAGCAAATGCTCTGATTTTCCATTTCTTCTAGTCTATATATATAGCGATAATAATTAGTTGGTACTCTGGAGACGTCAACAGAAAGTGATGCTGGTGCTGGGTGGACTTCACTCACTCTTTACTTTAGCTCGCTCATTTTCATTTGCGTATGGAGGTCTTCGAGCAGCCCATCAGATGCATCATGTTCTATTGCAGAAAGTCATTTCAGCTCCCATTACTTTCTTTGATCGCAATCCTCGCGGTCGCATATTGAATAGGTAAATAATCTGAAAACCAGAAGCAACACTTTTAAGTGCAACTGCAGCCTGAGTGATACGAGTCTGAGTCTTGATCGTCTGGAAGAGTTTAAAATAAGGTGGCAAGATATAACTAACAAGTAGTACTGTGCATGACAGTATTTAGAGCAAGTTCTTGTCCGCGTGCATCGTACTTCTGCTTTCGTTATTCCAAGAACCATAATTTATGCTGAAACATTTGCAGGTTCTCGTCGGACCAGTTTTCCGTAGATGACTCGCTACCTTTTATAGCCAACATCCTGCTTGCTAACGTCTTTGTCCTGATTGGGATTTGTCTAGTTCTCTTCTACATTCAGGTAAAATATTTTCCGAAATAAGTTACTTCCATCCCATTGATCATCGGTGTAATCGGTTCTTTGAAAAGGCATGATTTCAATGGGGTGAATTTGGAGACTTCAAATTTTCGGGACATGACTTGACTTCGGTTGAATGCTGCTGGTGCAGCGGGCACTTTTATTGACGATGCTGCCACTCAGCTATTTCTTCTTTAAATTGCAGGTCTACTTTCCACCTTCATAGTAAATTTGCTGACTGCTGAACTTGGGGTCAACAGTCCTGCGACGCTGTGCCTGGATTGTTCCCGTTACTTAAATGTAGGCTCATTTATTTAGTTTGTCCTGAAATTGTCATGTTCCTGCTTATTACTTTTTAAGAAGGGGCTTGTCTTTGTCATATTTATGATATCCAAATCCTGTTTGTCTCTCATATCCAATTCCCTTCTGAAAACTGATGTGCATGATAAAATTGACGACATGTGCTGAAGCGTTTTAGTTCTTATACAATCATCGCAGAGGTACTACCGCGAAACCTCTCGTGAACTGCGGAGACTGGAGAGTGTATTTCGATCTCCCGTGTATACTTCTTTCACAGAAATGCTTGAGGGATGTGCAACGATCCGAGCATTTGGGGCGCAGGTGAGTAGACTCATAGTCCCACTTGTATATGAATTAAAGTCTAACATGTTACATTTTGATACTATTAGCGAGTGTTTAATTTTCTCTTGGAGCTTATGGAATTGAACTCGAAGAAGTATTCTGTGTTCCAAAAAGCACCAATTTTCACTGAAGTGCATATTCGCAAAAACTTCACATGTCTGTGTTAACAGTGGAGATTCCTTTTCTTTGATGAGGTTTTACTAGCTACTTCTACTGAATATTCTGAGTTCAGGACGCTTCCTTATAAAAAGCCATGAACTTCTTGTGACGTGGATCTCTGGCAATTGTAACGTTGTTACCAGACTGCATTCGCGGCCAAAAATTGGAAAAATGTTGCAGATCGGCAGAAGGGATCATACGCGGAAATGGCTGCAAGTCTATGGCTGGCATTTCGACTTGAGGTAGGATATTTACACGCCTCCCGTGTCTTCGTTCTTTACGTTCCATCGTCAAAAAACAGACGGAATTTCAGCCTCATAATATATTCTATTTTTTATTCATTCGTCTGTTTTTATTATAAAAGAGATGCTTACGTATCTTAATGTTGGAACAAAGGAGTAACATGATGCAGTAATTTTTTTCCAGTTCGTAGCCATTCTGCTCAGAAACAAGCGTTAGTGTATGGAACGTAACTAAAATTTTAACAAATGAATACATGAATTTTGGTAAGTTTGAGGACAAAAAGAACCGTACTTGCGCCACCAGAAGTGAGATTATGAATTCTGGATCGTCGGAATCATAGGATTTAACCGGAACGTATATCAGTAGTTTCAAAGTAAGAGGTAAAATTTCAGCAACCAACTACCCCAGATAGAAGCTGGTATACTGCTCAAATCAATAATGTGCTTATGTGCCGTGTGCAGATCATAGCGTCTGCACTCACAGGCCTCATATGTGTCATGGCTGTGGTCAGTCATATTTATTCTCAGGCTCATTTTGCAGCTACATCGGCCGGCATGGTACATCTGCTAACCCTGTCTATTAAGGAACTCTTTGCACAAGCCCCACGTAGATGAAGTAATAACAGAGACAGAATGTACTGAATTTCAGACGCGTGATGCATCAAAAAATCAGTACATTCTCGTTTCAGTTAAAAATACAGGATGTAAAAGATATATATCCTAAGTCATTCTTTCTCTCAATGATTAACTTCCTGTCTGGATGTCAGGTGGGACTTTGCTTGTCTTATGTCACGCCAATAATTGGTCTTCTCAGTGGTATTATGACAACTTTCACTGAGACTGAGCAAGAGATGGTATCAGTGGAACGAATTCAGCAGGTATGGTGTGCTAAGTGATCATTTGAGTGGAATCTGTGAGACACCATTCCAGATCTCAAGTACCACATGTGATTTGATCATGCTGAGGATAGGGTTTGGTACTATCGCACAGTCCAGCATACTCTTTATAACAACGATACACTGTGAACCTGGCAGTATATGGATGTGCCAGAGGAGAATGACCAAAGTGATCATGAAGTGAGTCCGTCGTGGCCAGTAGAAGGTGCCGTAAATTTCAATCATGTTAGCTTAATTTATCGTCCCGGGTTGCCTCTCGCCCTAAACGACGTTTCGTTCTTTATTCAGCCACGCGAACATGTAAGTTACCGCTCCCAACTAATTTTTAGACTACTGCAGTATTTTTAGTCAAGTACTAGGATTGATTCCTCTCGAGTAAATGTTAGGAGTGCAAACGTTATATATGAAAAATGTGTACTGTTTCAGATTTGCAAGGCGTCGCAGGCTCCTATCGGAAGCTATTACAGCGACTAACATTTTTCAGCTGCTTGACTCACTAGTTATCACCCGATTCAATTGTACATTTTCTTTTAAAAATATGATTCAAGAGATTCGACTAAAATGACTGTGCTCGAGTTGCAGATTGGTATTGCTGGAAGAACAGGAGCCGGGAAGTCGAGCGTCCTTAATAGTCTCTTTCGTTTGACACCAATTTGTTCAGGAAGTATTGTGATTGATGGAATCAATGTATCTGGCGTTCCTCTTCAGCGCCTTCGATCCTCGCTCACAATTGTTCCCCAAAGTTCCTTTCTTTTTGGTGGAAATATACGGTCAGCACAGGGATTTGCATTGTCCTTGCTCATGTAGAATGCTTTCGAACCTTCTGAATGCCACCATTGATATTAATCTTCTCATGACGGGGATGATTTGTATATATGCAGGGAAAATTTGGATCCCATGAGCCGTGCCACCGATGCCAGATTGTGGGAGGTTCTTGAACTGTGTCACTTGAAAGAAGCTGTTGAGTCTGTTGGGGGTTTGAGTGGAAATGTGGTAGAGGGTGGGGAGACCCTTTCGCAAGGGCAGAGACAGCTTCTATGCCTAGCTCGCTCACTTCTGGGAACTGCACGCGTAAGCCGTGACGTTCATTCACTTTCCCATATCAAAAGGCCACGTCGTTAATATGTCTTATGATAGTTGCAGAAGGTATTCATCAGTTTGATAAATTGATCCAATGCTCTGCAGATATTGTGCCTGGACGAATGCACTGCCAACGTGGATCCTGAAACGAACGCACTGTTGAAGAAGACAGTGGCGAAAGAGTGTGCTAACATGACAGTTATAACCATAGCCCATCGAATCTCCACCATCATTGACTTACACCGAGTTCTGATCATGGAGCAGGGAAGAATGGTTCGTATCTCTTCCTCTATCGGCATCTTCTTATATCTTATTATTTTCGTACTAGTCGAAAATTGTCCCTGGTCAAATGAGAAATGCAGTACTGGAGAGCTTTAGCAAAACATTTCAAAAGGGAAATTTACCCGTCTAAAGTACCTGGTGAGGATTTCCAACACCCATCTAGTTTAGAGCCGAAAGTAGAAGTGAAAAAAGTTTCGATTTTTTTTTAAGTCTACGCAAGGTAACGAGTGATGCCATCAAGTTCAGACATGGATGTGGCTAATGATCAGTTAATATGTTAACATGCAATTGAAGCTAAAATAACACATATTCCATTTCTAGTGTTTCCCTTTGATACAAATTCTGATACAATCCTACGTGATGGCAGGTTGAAGCAGGCTGCCCCAAAGACCTTCTGGCAAACGTCCACTCTAGATTCTTTGGTCTCGCCAATGCATCTCAAGCATGATGCCGGATCAGCAGGAACCCAATCTCAGTTCTTACTGCGGCTCATTAAATACATTTCGATCGTACAAACTCTAGATGCAGCCTAAGAAGAGGCGCTCCTACTCATCTACCACCAGGTTGCAGGGTTTTTTCTCATCAATTTTAGCTACAACGTGATCTTTTGACACCCTTCGTCTCTCTGCTTAATATCTGAACAGCTGGGCAACCTCCCCAAGTAGCTGAAAGTATCAAACGCAAAGCAATAACACAACGAAAGCCCGTTCCCATGTAATTTTAGTTCAATGTGTGTTGGGGTTCCCACAAAATTGATTGAAGACAGTAATTATAGTTTAAAATCTTGCATGTGTGGCATAAAGGAATTCAATAACAGTTGAAGTCATCACAATTCTTTCTTTTGTTGAAATCACTCAACACTCCATATACATATTCACATTGAGAGCCAAGGTGAATCCACCAAGATGGGCATTAGGAGGTGAATTTTTGAAGTAAATGTTCATCTGATTTTCAATAAAACTTAATATTAAACCTAAAAAAATTACATCTTTAAGCTGTTATATCAATAGTTCTAATTGACTCTAGATTTTCTGGTGAGGTTCAAAATTTTCAAGAATTTTCCTTGTTATTAATATAAAGAACAAATTATATGATAATTTTAATGAACTTTGTGATATATATATATATATATATATATGTATTATAAAAAATTAAACCACATAAAAATACTATAAAGCTTTGAAAATAATTGTGTGTGTTTTAAGGATGACATGACTATCTATGAGTAATATATTTAAATACAATAAAATGTTGGAGCTTATTAAAGAGTTTTTTTTTTTTTTTTTATAGCTTTAAATGTAAAAAATTGTCAAAAATTTCATATTTGGTCTTGTAATTTTTGTCATTAGCAAAAACTCTTCATTATTCATTGCTTAAAAGAAAAATTATCTTTTTTTCTTTCAAATCAAATATATTCAAGTATTGTAATGGATTTAATTATGAAAATCTCTAACTTATATTCTTATAACTTTACTTTTGAAAAATTATTTTATTAAAACAAAGTTGCATATTTTAAAACTTACTAAAAATATTTAACAGTAAATAATTTAAATTCTTGTTTAATAATATATGTATTAATATTACATATTTTTAATTTATATGATATTTAATAGAGAATCTTTAAAAGAATCTTTTAAATGTATTAAATATATATTTTTAATTAATAATATATATGTAAGATACAACTAGAGTGTTATTACAATTTTAAAATAGATTTTTGATACTTAGATTTTAAAATGCCTATTATCTATAATTATAAAGAATATCTATCAAACTTTGTAGCATATAATATTTAAAAAATCTTCAAGTTTATTGAATTTAGTAGCAATTTGAGTATATTTTTATGGAACTATTTTATAAAAAGAGATATAATATAATTTATAAGGTTTTCTTATTTGACTTAACTATAGTGTGGATATTTCCTCCCTTGAGAAGATCTAGCTTCAACTTGAGAATAATCTTGTAAATGTTGCAAGAGTTGGAATATTTGATCTGGTAGTAGTGATAAAGAAAGCTCCAATTCTGCCTCTACTTTGAGATTTGTGATCTAAAGTCTCTCTAAACACTCTACAATTTGATATATTGGATCACAAACTAGATACACTAAATTTTAAGCTTGCTGTGAGCAATACTTGCTTTCTTTTTATATACAACATTCTAGTAGTAGCTTCATAGAAAAGTCATCCTAAATTAGGTTTAGATTTTTGAAGAGAGCATTGATGAAACTTCTATATCTTTTACAGTGCATTAACTAGATTTTTTGCTAATTTTTACATATGCTCATTAATATTGTAACTGTACTGATGAATAAAATATTCCAACTTACCTCTTGTTTGTTGAGAATCAAGGACCTTTTTTACCTCATATTCTATATGATTATCTATTTCAATATAAGGCAGTGATAGTTGTATTTTTTTTTTTTTTAAATAGTTGATTTTGTATATGTCTCTAAGTAAAAAATATGAAAGACTAGATGTACCTTCATAGATGTGGATAGTTCCAACAAATAAGATACTAGATTGATTTGCTTTTGTATACAAAATGGTCTTAGACTTTGGTAGTCTAATTTATTGCAAGGTTGATTGGTCTTGATATTTTGTCAAAGAAGCCTTATTTATTTTTAACTTGAAAAGTAAGGAATTTCTTTTTAAATTCATCTAAAGATGCTTCATAAGAATCTTAAGCTACTTATAAATAGAGCTTCAAAGTTGTCTAGAGCTATGAGAATTTTTTTGCAAGATCTTCAGCTATTAGATTTTCATACTTTGATGTACCTAATAAATCAAGCTTTGAATAATAACTATAATTGGCATGAAATCGTATTTGTAGAGTGAAAGCATGAGGAGTATTATTATAAGCAAATTTTGTAAAAGATAAATATAAAGTTCAATTATCCTATTGATAATTGATGGCGTATGACAAATATAGCTCTAAAACTTAATTGATATGTTTTGTTTCACCATTGGTTTGAAGATAGAAGGTAGAAGAAAGTTTGATATCTACCTTCAATATTTCAAAAAATAAATTTTAAAAATTTGATATTAATTGAGGTCTTTGATTAAAAATGATATTAAATATGCCATGATATCGATATATATTATCAAAAAAGAGTCTTGCTGTTTCTTCTCCAGAAATCATCTTTTTGCATAAGACAAAATGAGACATCTTTAAAAGGTGATCTACAACAATCTAGATAGCATCAAATGTAGATAATGGTGGCAGATCAATAATGAAATCCATTGATACTGAAGGCCATGGTCACTTTGGAATTGGCATTGGCAATAGAAGTTCAAAAAACCAATGTTGAAAATTCTTAGATCTTCAACAGATGTCACACAAGAAGACAAAGTCCTTCATGGTCTTTTATATTTGAGACCACCAAAAATCTTGAAAAATAAGCTCTAATGTTTTGTTAATTCTAAAATATTTTTTAGCTAGAAAATTATGATTAGATTAAAGAATATGAAGTTGTATTGGTTCTTTTAGAATATATAAATGATCTTCAAAATATAAAAGATATTTTACAAATTTAAATTTATTTTTATTAGAATGCTGCTCAATATTACAAACTAATGAGTCCAAAAAAACTTGAAACAACAAGTATAGCCATAGAAGTAGCATAAAGACAAAACTACTCTAACTTCAGGAGAATAATATATTATTGATCAAATACTACTTTTTTAATCTTTGGAATTAGATATGATCTCCTTGATAAAATATCTGATAATCCTTGCTATTTTCTTGCTCAATATATAATTACAAAATCAAAATAAAATAATGATATATTTCAACGAAATTAGCAACAATTCAAAACTTAAGCATATATGAAATACTCAAAATTTTTGTGATTTGTATATACAGTCACAAGATGTGTAGTGCCTTCTAGTGAATGATGCCATTCTTGAAAAGAGTCTATAATTATAAATCTCATAATTGAATTTTTTTAGAATAAAATGTAACTAGGTGGAACTTTTTATTCATTTCTATGTTAAAGCTAAGAATTTGATGAAAGAAAATAAATAAATAAATAAAACTTTTTTAAAAAAGTATAAAAAAATAGAAATAAGAAAGTATATATATTAAAAAAATAAATAGAAGGGCTATTGGAAAAGACAAGAAAATTAGAGACTTCTTAAAATTAGTCTAGAAGTAAGAAAAGATTTGATAAGAGTGAAAAAGACTTCATTTTTGCCTCTACACGTATTATCTACTTAGGAGCTATATAGCAATATTCTATAGAATCTCTAAAATGTGTTGACTTTGCACAATACATATCTTGACTTATAAGGCAAGTTTTTTAAATGGATGCTACACAATTAGCTTTTTTTATAAGCTATTAATATTTGTGGCATATAATTAATTTGTTAACGGAGTTTCTAACCTATCAATCAAGTACAAATACATATAAAATCAAAAGAGTATCTATGAAGTTTTTAAGAAACTTCTTTAAAAGATATTATGAAATTAATTTATTTTTATTTATTCATATTATCTAGTTAAAAAATAGAGTAAATTTATGTCCGTGACATTATTCTCTCTTCTTTCTAGGAACAAGTTCCATGAAAAGAGGTGATCACATATTGAAGAAGTCTAAGATGCAGCAAACTGTATTTGTTATGTACTCTAATCTTTATTCTCTTCAAAGATGGTTAATAGGTCTTTTCAACCATCAATAATATTCTATTCTAGGAAAAAAGATCACCATATTATATGATCATTGTTGAGACTTTTATAACTTCCTTCAAACAAAATATTTGTAATACTATGAAGAATTATTTGGATATCTAATAAAATTACCAAACATCAAGACTTTCTTTCTTGGTTGTGATACCAAATACATTGTAGCTTGCTATTTATTCAAGAAAGAATATGTTATTCTTGAAGATCTTCATCCCTATTACATTATCTTAAAGGCTATGATAATTACAATATCTTGTCCAATAAGTCAATAAATGATGGTTCTTAAATTGAATTTATTGGCTATTAATTCTCTATTTTTTTAACTCTACAATTATATAAAAATTACAAATAAGGATAGAATACAATCTTTTTTAAATTATATTTTTTTATAGCAAAGATTTGTTATCCTTCATCTTAGTTTTGATGGATGTTGTCAATAAATAAGATATTCTAACTTAAGTTGATATTACCTTAAATCTAAAACTTCTTCCACATCAAATTCTTAGTTATCATTTATTTTTATAGAAGGCAGTGGTATTTATATTTTTTCTAAGATATTTATTATCTTATATGGCTCCAAAAAAGATATGTGAAATATAGGATGGATTTTTATAGACTTCAATAGATGTAATCAATAAGCAATTAGATTGACTTGTTCACAAATAAAAAATAGTCCAAATCTATGATAATCCAACTTATTATAAGGACAAATAGTTTTAATATTATAATAAAGTAACCATATCTTATCACCAACATAGAAATGAAGTTGTTCCTTGTAATAGGCATTCACATTGCTCTTTTTTTGTTCTTGAACCTCTTCCAGTTGCACCTTTATTATTGTATATAACTTAGATAAATGATTTATAAAATCTTTTGTCATAGAATTATCAAATTTTAAAAAATCAAATACATTAAGTATAGATGATAGCCACAATTAGCAAAGAAAGGTGTTTATTGTATAGAAGAATATATTGTATTATTATAAACAAATTTTATCAATGGAAAAATAATTATTCAATCATCTTATTGGTAGTTAATAATACACCTTAAATACTTATTTAAAACTTAATTTAAATACTCTATTTATCTATGAATTTGAAGATAAAAAGTAAAAGATAGTTTTTAATCTATTTTTAGAAAATTAAAAAGTAT